CATCCATTAACAGACCACTGACTCCACTTCCGTAATACGTAATGGTAATTCAATCAAACTATTTCGTCTTTAAGGTCCAAGGGCGTAGTTGAGATGATGCGAACAACCACCCAAATTTGCTTAAAAAGTCCTTAAAGATCCACTACCGTCTAAGTTTTAATAAACACTTAATTTTTATGTAAATCATATATATTATATGATATATTTCCCATTCTGTAGTGCTGTCTACGCCCCTGAGGCCAACCATCGCCATAAAATTATCATACTGTTCTGGTTAGCAGTCTCACACTAGGGAAGATTCTCATTACTGGTCCGTCTAGCAATGCTTCAATTATCGTGATCGATTGGTAACTCAAAGCAAACTGATAGTTATCTATTATCTTAATACTTATCATGTCGGGAGGTTAGAATACCAGTATGGGGTAAAGATGTGAAGTGGGGTTTCGCAGACCAGGAACTGCTCAGAAATTAAGAAACTTCGTTTTTTGAAACGGTATCATGTTGTATACGGTGTAAAAGCACACTGATATCCTACATAACAGTTTCAAATATCCACAAAATGCAAGTTCTGGGATTAATACGCAGAGAATGATTTCTAACATAGACAACAAAGGAAATAAACGCACAAACAAGTGTGCAAATAATACAATCTTTGATCTGACGAGAGAAAGGAAAAATAAATAAACTGGTACTGTCACCGTTAAGCTGTATCGAAGTAGACCTGTGGTCGCTAGGTAAATTAACTTATGATAAAAATAACGAAAGAAATTTCAGTTTCCCTTCTTCTTTCGTCAAATCATGGTTACCGCTTCTAGGCAAGCACTATCTTCGTTAAGTTTAACATTAATTTAACAGTGTAAGTTTTTAACCAACTGACCGGCTTCTTAATTCACTGTAGACTGCAATTCCAGAGGAAGACAGAAATCAAGAGATCTAGAATCATTCATATGTCCCACTTTTAAGTCAGCCCAAAGTCCTAGTGCGATATTCGAAAGCTTTTAGATTACCTACATCAACGACCAATAAAACATATTGAAGGAAACCTCCAACTTATACTAATTTGTACAAGTTATGTACCATCCCATACAATGAGTACAACCCAATATACTCCAGAGAGCATGATATAAAACAGGTCCAACTAGTAAAAGGTCTACAGAACATATAACTTTTGTATATAAAGGATTAATGCAAGTTTGCGACCAACGTAATCTAGTAACAAGAATGTCATAATTACACCTTGAATATACATATAAATAGTTATACACTAGTTATGAAAGAGTAAAATATGAGGATATTTCGTATAATCACAATTACATACACGTGTTTTTAAGTATAGAGAGGCGGCAAAGACGTAGTACGGTCCCACAGTCATTCGTGTTTGGTACTGCTATATCATTCTGTTTGTTTTGAATTTCGCGCAAAGCTACACAAGGGCTATCTACGCTAGCCGTCCCTAATTTAGCAGTGTAAGACTAGAGGGAAGGCAGCTAGTCATCACCACCCACCGCCAACTCCTGGGCTACTCTTATACCAACGAATAGTGGGATTGACTGTAACATTAGAACGCCCCCACGGCTGAAAGGGCGAGCGAGTGTCTTACACTGCTAAATTAGTGACGGCTAGCGCAGATAGCCCTCGTGTAGCTTTGCGCGAAATTCAAAAACAAACAAACCAAAGTCTTTTTCAATAACTTCAAATGTAGTTGTAAGCATTAAGCACGAAAGTAAATAACGCGAAAATTAAGAATTCACACCAGTACGCTCTGTGCTGAAGTGAGTTTAAAAACAGTTAACAAGGAATTTGGTTGGAGATGTTCTTTATTTCAGTGTGTTTGCAGTTTACTGATGTAGTTTTTACCATAATACAACCTTTGTATATTACATATTTTTATATGTATAAACATGCACATATTCATGTTTAACAAACTAGTTTTCAAAAACAACTATTTTTAGACTTCCGAATACTAAGTTAAAATATATATTTATTTCTACGGAAAATAAAAACAATACCAAATTTTTATTTGAAGTTTCAGAATATTGAAAATTCATATACTTTGCTAATTTTCCTTCCC